GAGGGTTAGCCTGATCTCTACTGTAACAGGCCTTTAGTGTAGACCAGCAGAAAGCCAGTGAGACCCTCAGAGCGGAGGACCCTCAGCGGCACTGCCTCGTCTCCCAGAATGGCCAGGACACTGCTCATCTCCTTGGTCAGCTGTCTCTTCACTGTAAATCAGGCCAGAATCGTGCACTGCTGTGACCTGGCAAAGCTGCTCTATAAAGAAGACATGAACGGGCTACAGGGCTACTCCGTGAGTGACTGGCTGTGCTTGGCTTTGGTGGAAAGCAAGTTCAACACATCAAAGATAAGTGAAAATGCAGATGGCAGCTTCGACTACGGCATCTCCCAGATCAACAGCCACTGCTGGTGCAATGATTATCCGAGTTGCTCGGAAAACCTTTGCCACGTGGACTGCTTAGAACTCCTGGAACCTAAACTTCTTTCAAGCATCAAATGTGTGAAAAGGATTTTGTTCGAAGAAGGGGGTTTGAAGAACTGGATACAATGGAAGCTGCCCTGTTCGGAGCCCCGTGCATCAGTGAAGAGAACTCAAGTTCCTGGTTGTCATTTGCAAATGAAGAGGGCCACACAGAAGAAGTTCCTTTATCTTTAAAATTATTAAACTGTTCACTATGTAAAAAACAACAACAAAACCCACATTGTTACTGATTTTAAACACTGAATACTCCTCGTTCTGGTCAGTGACATCTCTTAGTCTACACACACGTTCTGCATTAGCACAATTAAGTGCCTTAGAATTCCCATTCTTGGCGACACAAGTTGTAATTTATTATGATACACATAGTTGTTGCCTTTGCATAGACAATAAAGTGTAGGTAAATATCTCTCTTGTTTTCTGTGCTTTCAAACAAGATTTATCTGACATCAGCATTGATCTTTTCACATCCTCATTCGTACTTTGAATTTCTAGCAGTGACTTGTCAATGGATGGCTGCAATCATTCCTTAATTATCTACTGCAAAATTTTTACTTGTGTATGATAATAAATGATAGTATTTGATCATTTTCTTCCTGTCAAATCACTCTTCCTAAAATGTGTTCCTATATTAATCTATTTCAGTCATTTTTCCAGGTATTTTTCTTTCAATTACTTTAACATACATGAGCGAGTACTTCTAGCATTACATCTGTTACTGAAGCATCTCAATTGGTGGTCCATCAGTTTCTGGAAAGTTGTTATTCACCAGGGCTTTTTATGCAGATTGAGCATCTTCTTTCAGTAATATTGATTCTTGTCTCCCAAAATGCCTGAATGGTGATGATCAATTATTTTTGGTACAGCAACTCTGCGTTTGTCCCCATCTTCTTTTAGCTTGGTATTTTACCCATGGAAAATTTTTATATTAAAACTGAAAGCATGAATATTTTTTCAGTTCTTTATGATTAAGAAATATCTATTATGTTCTCCCCTTTTCATTTTCCAATTCCATTTCTTTGCACATCCATTATAATACTTTGTCTTCTTGAGCAACCCTTTGAAATCTTCTGTTCAGTTCTTTTAGTCATCATTGATTCCATTTGATTTAGTTACTCCACATTCAAGAGTGAGTTGAATAGTTTTCTGAAAGACTGTCTTCTGAATGCTGTCTTTTGGCTTCCTGTTTAGGCTTTTCCTTTTTCTCCTGACTTTTTAATGGACCTTGGGTTTCTTTTTGTTTGATATGCTTGCAAAACTCTATCAATCTTTGGTCAGCAGTGTTCAGTGCATCAAATTTATTATTGATATAAGATGTAGATTGTTATTGTTATGTGTCTCTCAGTTGACTGCAACTTATTGCCACCCTGTGAACAATGGCTCTGAACCTTGCCCTGCCTTGATCCAGCCTGTCTCTAACATACCTGACCCCAATACGAGCACCACTGTGTGAATCTATCTCATACAAGGTCTTCTTTTGACCCTCTACCCTTCCAATCATGAAGTCTTTCTCCGAGGACTGGTCTCTTGGCCACAAACCAAAGTATGTGAGACAGAGCTTCAAAATCTTTGCCTCCAAAGAGCCAACTAGTTTCACCCTCTCCAGAGAGACTTAATTTTTTCCTCTGTTGGTAGTCCCCTGTATGTTCAGTTGTTGTTATTGTTGTTGTTATGTGTTGTTGGGTTGGCTGCGACACATAGCTACCCTATATACGACAGCTCTGAAGCCTGCCTTATCCTGAGTTGACTCTGACACACCAAGACCCATTGTCCCAGTTATTCTATTGATCTATCTTATCTGGGGTCTTCCTTTTCTGCGGTCTCTCCACTCTTCCAAGCATGATGTCCTTCTACAAAGACCAGTCCCTTCTGGTCATGTGCCCAAAGTATGTGAGACAGAGCTTCAAAATCCTAGCCTCCAAAAAGAAACTTGGTTTCACCCTCTTCAAGACAGATTTGCTTGTTTACTTTAAAGGCCATAATAGGTTCAAGATTCTTCTTCAGCACCATAATTCAAAGGCATAAATTCTTATTCTGTTATCCTTAGTCATTGTCCAGCTCTCTGATGCATAGCAAGTAATTGCGAAGGCCATGGCCTGGATCAGGTGCACCTTAGTCTCTAGACTGACATTGTTGCTTCTCAGTACTCTGGAGAGGTACCTGACAGCAGATTTTTCCAGTGCAGTACTAAGGTATATTTAAGGGCATTATTTGCCTTTCACAGACTCATTTTCATTTCCTTTTGCTTCTACCTGATCTTGTATATGTAAGTAATTAATGGTCAATAGACACCACATTTTCATCTAGATGTATTTTACCTTTTTGTTTTAAGTTTTTAAACAATGTATGTTTTTCTATATATGATAAATATACTTTCGTTATTGTTGTTGTTATGTACCATTGAGTCACTTGTGACTCATAGTGACCCCATGTACAACAGCCGTAAACTCTGCCCTATCCTGTGCCAATCGCACTGTCTCTCACACTCCCATCCCAATTATCCCATTCACTGAATCAATCTACCTCATAGAGGGCCTTCCCCTCCTGCGCTGTCCCTTCACCCTCCCAAGCATGATGTCCCTCTCCAAAGACCGGTCCCTCCTTACAACATGTCCAAAGTATGTTAGACGAAGCCTCAGAATCCTTGCCTCTAAGGAGCCACCTGATTTTACCCTTTCCAGGATGAATCTGTTTGTTTTCTTAGCAGTTCATGGTACCCTCAATACTCTTCTCCAGCACCACAGTTCAAAGGCATCAATTTTCCTTCTATTCTCCTTAGTTATTGTCCAACTCTTGATGCATAACAAGTGATAGCAAAGATCATGGCCTGTATCTGATGCACCTTAGTCTCCAGAGAGACACCATTGCTCTTCATTTACCTTTTACAAAGCTATTTAGTATGTATATTTCAAGTCAAATTAAGACCTGCATAGTTATTTTCTTTCTTTCCTTCCATTTAATACTTTTATCTCCACCTTCCAATTCCTATCCAGTATGTTTTGATTCTTTTCATTTCTTAGATCATTCTCTGTGGCAGCTTTATCCCTCTGTGGCAGACCTCAGTTAGTATAGGGAATATGGCAGCAGAGTTGAGACTGGACCAAATTGTTGGGAGTAGCAGTGATCTTCAGACAGAGCAGGTGCACGTAAAACTAGAGGGATGGATCAGAGCCATCAGATCTCCCAGCACAAAGGTGGCTGCCACTGCCTTGCCCAGACCTCATTGCTTTAAATGAAACTTGGCTTTAAACATTCCTTCAGATCGATTCATTCGAAAGTATTTAAGGTTGAGCTAGGTTTATTACTACAGATGTAATTGGGAGCCCTTACATTTTAGCATAATGCTTCATTAGTTACAAAGCAAAATACACTCAGGTGACATGTGGTGTCTATAGATAGAGATCTCAGGCTAGAAAGTGGATGGGTCTGTGCACTAACACAGAGTTTGAGGACAAGGTTTACTGGAGCAGTTATTTCCTTAATGCTCTCAGGGAGTTAAAGATTATGAAGATTTTAAATCTTTTCTCTTTGCTTGCTTTTTTCCCCCCTTTTTGCCCATCCCTGTCTCCAAAGAAAGCAATAAGCCTGTCAAAGGAGGAATTAATTAAGCAAATCAATCAGTCAGTTTTATTAAGGAATTACAAAGCCCAAGTGGAGCATTAATTATTCAGATAATGGGACATCTCTGAGCCTTTCTTGTCAATTATTGATAAGCTGCTATCTATCATCCAGACTGCTTTAGTACTGATTTGGTTGTGAATGAAGCCAGGTCATTCAACGAGACCATATGCTAGTTATGAGTGCTGCTGGTAGACTGAGGCTGAAGGCAAAGCTGGGGCTCTGTATCTGTTTGGTGTGAGTGAAAGGCAAGACAATGAACCAGGACACACTGTAGAGTCCCCAGGGCAAAGGTCACTGTGATCGCTTCAGTCACCTGATCAATGATGAGTGCTGAGACTAAGAAGTCAAAAGTTTCTTTTCCTTTGTCATCTCCATATTTTTTTGTTAGCCTTATAAGTACTGCTAATAAAGTGGCTTTAAAGCCAATCTTTACATAACAGAGGAAATGAAAGTTTCATTCCTTTGACTTCAAGAGAGACTGTTTCTTTCCCTTAACCCACTCACTGTCATAAAGTCGGCTCTTACTCATAACTATCCCATAGAACAGAGTAGAATGGTGCTATAGGATTTCTGAGGCTGTAAACCTTTACAGAAGCAGACAGCCTCATTTTTCTCTCATGGAGTAGATGTTGTTGTTGTTGTTGTTGTTATGTGCCGTCGAGTCGTTTCTGCCTCATAGCGACCCTATGCACAACAGCCCTAGACCCTGCTCTATCCTGCGCCAACCTCACCGCCTCTGACACACCCATCCCTATTACCCCAGTCACCGAATCAATCCATCTCATAGAGGGTCTTCCCCTCC